GAAGCAGGCTCCCTGCTGAGCAGAGAGCCCGATGCGGGACTCGATCCCAGGACTCCGAGATCATGACCTGAGCCGAAGGCAGTGGCTCAACCCACTGAGCCACCCAGGCGCCCCTAGATAGGATGGTTTTAACCACTGACACTGTATTTAAAGCTTGACATCCATAACAAATTTAACATCCTCATTCTAAAATGTGTTTTTATAAAAACACACTGGTCTGGGCTATTCATGTAAAATGGGTTTCATTCATTTCTCTATATTGTACAAAAGTGAGCAGCCTTGCCTCCAAATCCCATTTACTACTATTGAAAGGGGGGAAAAAAAGAATTTTCATTAAAATCGAACAACGGGGCTATGAAAGAAGGAGGATTATAGCAAAATGCCCTTGACCGTCTCTCAAAAACAGAACCAGGCCCACATTTGAGGAATGCCAAGTGATTCTCATTAAAGTAATGAGAATATTTTCAGTGACATGTGTCTGACCGACTTTAATTTAGTTGGCAGGACTCAAGGCAGCCAGAGACCCAAAAATAACGCACAGCCAACAGTTCCTACTCAAACACACCTAACAGACGTAGTTCACACTGTTTCAAGGATGCCCCACCCTAGACAGACAGGGTGTAAGGTCAAATGCAAATTGTTGTGGCATTAAACACACAGTCCTGTAACAACACTGAAAGGTCAAATTTAATAGCCTGAGTCCCTCGGGCTCCCCCTTCATAAAATTCGCTCTAACTGGTCAGGGTGAGCCGACAGATTTGCTGGATCCCAACCCCTGCCCCACCCAACAAGCTGAAGTTATTTTTAACTTACAACTACTGCTGATAAGTATTTAAAAAAAAAGAATCCCTTTCAGAAAGAGAAACTATGAACAAACAAAATACCAATGCATTTTAGTGAGAAATAGTCTGTCTCTCAGCCAAAACTATAAACGAATGACATTTTGGGGTAGAAAAAAACAGAGTCCTTTGTATTTATCACGTTTTCCATCATTTCTACAAACAAATTCTCTAAACAGCCTTGTGGGGCAGTGGGCAGGCTGAAATTATGTTGAGCTTACCTTTGGAAATGTAGTCTCCTGAACAGAATAAGGCCCATTTCCATAGGTCAAGTGCAGTCAGTAGTAACGTATAATAGGCAAGCTATCATTTCGTTGGATAATTTACTTCAACATAAGCTCTTTTTCCCACATCTGGAAATTAGCCAAGTGAGCTAGGCTCCATGCCCTCAAAACTTAAAATTCGGTGGGTAGACATGAACGTAAGCAAGTCAAAGTTGGAGGAATATTCACGATCATTGCCTAAAGGTAAGAATATTCATTATCATTGCTGCTGGCCCCTTGATAGGCACTTTTATATATATTATTTCAATAAATCCTCCCAACACCCTTTGAGGTGGACACTCTCATTATTCCCATTTCACAAATGAGGAAATTGTGACACAGAGAGGTTAAGTAACTTGTCCAAGGTCACACAGCTATTTAAGTGGAGAACTATGATGTGAGCCCAACCTGGCAGCAGATAGGGTTGGAGAGATACCTGGATACCAGCTTGAGTTTCACCACATACTGGCTGCCTGACCTTCGACGGGCTACCTAAATTTTCAGAGCCTCAGCTTCCTAGTCTACAAAATAGGGCATAATAATACCCAGCTTATGGGTTTTTGTGAGAAGTATGAAACAGGATTACATTTGCAAAGTGCCTGACACAGGGTCTCTAGCACTGCTAGCAACTGCCACGAGGGGAACAAACATTTAAACACTCAAAACTTTTTTACCTAAGATGCTACCTTTTAACCTTCTATGTGTCTCACCAACTGGAAAGGAGGATTCAGCCTCACAGGGTAGGACTTGGGGTGGCCACCCTTCAGCCTCCCTCCCCTACTGAGTCCTGAGGAGTCATAAGATGTCGACAGATGAAGACACGGGAATCACAGCGTCCCAGAGTAGTTCAACCACATTTTTGGGGTTATTTATTGGTTGCGAGTCACATAGCAAGAGCTGTCACAGGCACCACGTGACTTAAGCACTGAGACACAGCCCTACCCACAAGGAGATTGTCAGGCCACAGTGGAGAAGCACACACATTTTAAAAAAATCAAATACCCAGCATATCATGTGGACAGTCTGTTGCATGAAGGTGTTGGGAGAGGCAGGGGGTCAGTTTCCAGGCTAAGGGACTCCCCATCGTGGTGCTCACATGGTGTGTCCTGCTCCAACCATAAGGCCACGCTGGTCCTCCCCAGTCTGTGCCTTGTGAAATTCTTGGAGCATCCTTCTGCCTCTAGATCTTCAGTCCAAAGCGAAGACACTGACACTTTGCCTTTGGGGTTCTCAAGGCTCAGTCATGATAAGGCCTCCACTCACAGAGACTTTGCAAAGTCAGGCCAGGAGCTGATAGGAAGGTAGCTGTTCTACACATGGCCTGGCACATTCTTTATCCTGAGGGGCTCAGCATGCCAAGGCTTCCCAGCAGAAACCATGCATTTGAAGAAGTGTCAAGTCAGATTTTTCAGGGTGGAGGAAATCTACAGCAGTCCCTGACACTTCAGAAGAAGGCTGGGTTAAGATAGGAGAGCCACACTTTTTTTTTTTTTTTTTTTTTTTAAAGAGGATAGAACTGAGGGACTAGAGACAAACACTGAGGCTTCCTGAGATTAGTTCTTAGCCAAGGGGTTGGGGGCAGGGGAGTGATTTCCTACTTATGCTTGAATTTTAAAAGTTAAAAAAACTTTGACAAATTTTCTGGCACTCAACTCTTCATAGCTACTGGCTATGTAACAAAAGACCACAGCAGTCTCAGTGGCATTAATAAACACTGATTTTTTTTCTAAAGTAGCTGTGGGGCAACTGGGGTGTCAGCTCCATGTGTCCTATCCTGGAACCAATATTGGAGCAATGGCTACCCACGGTATATTCATGCCATGGCATTCGCAGAGACACAAGAGGGCAAGACCAACGAGACAAGCACACACACACATCCTCTGCTCACAACACGTCCACCAGCCCCCCACTGACCAAAGCAAGTCACGTGGTCAAGTCCAATATCAAGAATGAGAGAAGTTTAAGGGTGGCTGGGTGGCTCAGTCAGTTAAGTATCTGCCTTCGGCTCTCAGGTCATGATCCCAGGGTCCTGGGATGAAGCCCCGCATTGGGGTCCCTGCTGAGTCTGCTTCTCCCTCTCTGCTCCTCCCCCTGCTTGTGAGCTCTCTCAAATAAATAAATAATCGTCTTAAAAAATCAGAGAAGTACAGATCGCTAGGAGGCCATGGGTCATGTGTATAACATTACCAAAGAGGAGTAAAGAGCTATTACCACCAATCCCATTTACAACACTCACTAAATAATCCTGAAAGGGAAGCATTAAGGCTCTATCTTTCTTCTGAAGCTCAAAAAAACTGAGCCTCCAGATTTTAAGTCATTCATCCAGGTCAGATAAGAGTATGATGCTCTAGCAGATTGAGAACTCAAATCTCGCCTTCTGTGGTATCTAGAGTGATGTAGCTTGCCAACATGTAACTAACTAAGGCATCCGTAATAATCACATCCCTTAATGATGCTCCCTCGCAGAAAACAGTTCTCTCCAACAAAGGCCAGACCCAACTTTGTCCCATCTGTTAGCCTGATCATAGAGTTTATCATTTGTTTAGGACCTTCTGCAGTGTTTTTACAAGCTTGACTATCACCACACTAATAAATTATTTATGGTGGGAAACCTGAATCAAAAGACTCTGGCTACTTGAAAATAGACTTTATGAAAACATCTCTTCCCCCCTCCAACATGCACCCTCCCAGGGCACGCACAATTTCTAAGCCTGAAAGATTGCACAGAGTCTGTGGAACAGAAGACGCTTGCAGATGGCTGCGAGGAAGGAATATGGAGGAATTCTTGAGCATGCAATTTTAACCTGAAGCGACTGCTTTGTGCAATTTAATCGCTCGATAGATCAGACTGTGAAGCATCACAGCTAGAAGTCAGGAAGGGCACGAAGCTATCCTGGTGCAGCCTCCCACGGCCTCCCATTCATCTACGCACACAACAAATAGCGATGGAAGGTCTAGTTTTGGCCTGGCAAGGTGCTGGGCCGCCCGCTGAACAAGACCGACCAGCTCTCAAGGGGTTTACATTCTGCAGAGACGGATGGAGAGAGACGGATTGTTACAAACAAAAAGTAAAACTGAACAGGCTAACTTCAGACTGTACTGAGGGCTGTGAAGCAGCTAGCCATCCTGGGGAAGTCACTGGCTTAACTCATCTATGGGGCCCTCTGTGCCCTCATCTGGAAAACCGCGTAGCTCCCCCACCCGCCGCCTGCCCCAGTTTAAAACGATTAGGTTAAGGAGCTAGTCTGTGAGGGTCTGGGCACCTGCGCCGGGGCAGGGCCTGCTCGCCGCACTTCTTTAGTCCCCGTCGGTCGGGCGAAGGGGCTTTCTGCGTCCCTCTCTCTGAAAGCTCACTGGAGCCAAAACGAAACTCCTGGCCTGGTAGCTCCCGGAGAGACATTAACAGCCCCGAGGTTGCCGCGCCCTGGGAAGGAGGGGAGGGTGCAGAGGTTCCTCCAAACAAAAGCTCAGCCCCTGGCGCCTCGAACGTGCTCGCGACGGCGCGGTGCGCGACCCGGCGCCCCGGACGTGGGCGCTGCGCGCTCAGGGCGCCGAGAGTAGGGTGGGGGACTGTCCCTGCTCTCCACTCCCACCCCGCGGGCCTCAGATGCCGCCTGACCTCCCTGTCCTTCTCCTTCCTTTGCCACCCTCGGACCCGGGCTGGCAGCGGACCCGCTAACGACAGTTTGGGGGCTGGGTGGGGTAGGGGCTACGTCCCCTCCCCGCCTGACCGGGGGAGGGGGGTGCCGCTTCCGCCCCAGAGCTGGGTTGAGTCCAGGAGGCTGTGGTCCCCCTCCGCCAGCCCTGTGTCCAGCCGCGCCGTGCTGTCCCCCCCACCCGCCACCCCACCCCGTTCCTTAAGGGCTGTTGTGATTGCGGAACTCGATGTGACAGCTCGGGGCTGGGGGGAGGGGGTAATCCCTCCTCCCCACCCCCGCCCAGGAGTGACCCAGGCGCCGCGCCGGCCTCCTTCCTGCACCTCGCCAGCCCCGCAGCCGCGGGAGGACGGGGCGCGGCTTCCCGAGAGCCGGGCTCGGTTCGCCCGGCGGCGGCAGCTGCTGCGCCCTGGGGGCGGGGAGCGGGCGCTGAGGGGCCTGGAGCGGAGCGGCGGCGGGAGCCCCGGCCTGGCAGCGCGGCTTCAAGTTTCCACCGGCGCGTGGTTGTGCAACCGCCAGAGGAGCGGGAGCCGCGGGCGCCTCGGAAAACAAGCCGAGCCCATAAACAAAGCCACGTGGGCTCGGGCGGGGGGGCCGGGCCAGGAGCAGGCGGCTCTTCCGGCAACAAAGGGCCGGAGCCAGCGGCCCGGGATAAATACTGCGGCCGCGCTGGCCGCGCAGCACTCCCGCCGGCCCCGCGCGCCCTGCGACCCTCCCCAGCGCCGCGCCCTCTGCGAGCACAGGACCCGGCTCCGCAGCTCCGAGCCCTCCACGCCGCTTCCCTGCAGCCGCGTCCTCGCCGACCCCGGCCCCCGGAGCACCCGCCTGGGGCGACAGTTCCCCGAGGCCGTCCAGCCGGTACGGTCCATCAGTCCGTCGAGTCCGTCGCGTCGTCCCCGGTGCCATGCCATTCCTCGGGCAGGACTGGCGGTCCCCCGGGCAGAGCTGGGTGAAGACGGCCGACGGCTGGAAGCGCTTCCTGGATGAGAAGAGCGGCAGCTTCGTGAGCGACCTCAGCAGGTGAGTGGATCCGCCACCACCTTCCAGCCCAGCGAAACAGACCTGGGCTGATTTTGGGGTCGCGAGGCGGGTGAATGGGGGGGGGCAGGCCGGACTGGGACAGAGTAAGGAGGGAACCCCGGGCCGGGAGGTGGGGTGGAGTGTGGAATGGGCGGGGGGTTGGGGGGAGTCGACCCCTTTCTGCAGAGGTCGCCAGAGCACGGGATTTGGGGAATTTGGTTTCTCTTGTTCAAGGTCAGCGTCTCCGAGTGGGCACAACTCTACAGAACCCCGGTCCCTCTGAGAATCTGACGACAATCGCGGATCTTGTCCGCAAACGTTCAGACTTAAGCACAGAACTTCAGGGGACCCCTGTCTTAACACCAGTCGCGCAGGGTGCCTGTGCGGGGGCGCGGGCGAGTGGGCTGCGCACCTTTCACCGCTGGGGCGGTGGGGCTCGGGGCACCCAAGCGAGGTGGGCACAAGTCGGGTGACGCGATGGGACCTGGGACCAGCGCCTCCAGGCTCTTCCCACGCACAGGCGACCGCAGAGTGGGCAGGGAGGATGAGTAACCAGGAGGGGCGGCCAGATGGTCCCTGGGGCACCGGCGCTTGCGGGGCGGACTTGAGGAACCGGGGTAAAGACTTGAGGCTGCAGAGCTGCGGAGGAGGGAAGGGAGGCGGGACTGAAACCCACAAGACTTCTGCTTCTGAGAGGACGAAGCATTTGCACCTGTTTCCTCAGTGGCCCTTTCGGTCAGTTTCCTGGGGGAATAATTTCAAGTGACGGCTATCCACTGCAGAAAGCCCACCTGAGCTCTGTCAGTCTGGTGGAAAAGCCGAGTTACCCTCGATCGCGCTCTCTGCTTGGTTAATAATAACGCAGGAATGTTGTCTAATAAGTGGTCTGGAATCTGTCAGTCCCGGATCTGAACAGTCGACTTCCAGATCCCCGCCATTTGGCACAGGTGAGGAGGGCAAAGAAAGTGGGTCCCCAGGGGACCAGTGCAGCCCAGCCATCCTTGGGTGCCTTTTCTCTCAGCCTTTGGTTGAAACCACTGGCACCAGAGCCCTTAAATTGGTTTTGGTGGAGAGTTCTGTAACTGGACGGGGTTCCCATTTACCGAGATTTACCAATGATTTTTTTTTTTTTCCTGAGCCCCTGGCACTCAATTTTAGGAAAACTATCAAGAAAGTATGGTTATTTTGATAGCTGGACCTCCAGACTGCCCCCCCCCCCGCAAAGTGTCTGCGATTTGTGAAGTGTTAAAACTCCTTAGTCTTCAATGAAAAAACAGAAAACCAGAAAGCATTTAATACTGGGGGTCTTTCAGGAGCGATGAGAGCATGTGTAACTCTTATGTTAAAGACACTTTGAGGCAGTTCCTGTGGAATTTGGGGAGCAAATAAGAAATCTTACTTATAGAAAATCAGATAATTTACTTAGAGCAAAATAAAAAGACCAATGGCTGTCACTGGACTCTTCCCTTTTAGGGATGCAAGTCACCAATATTGCCTAAATCATTCTCCCTAGACTAGAAGGTTCCTTCCTCCTCTTCCTAAGGAATGATCTGATAGTTCGGTACTTTATTTCTGTACAGCAGTTCTCAGTCTTTGTTGGGGGAGGGGGCATCAATGGTCTGCTGAATGGTGTCCCCGTGGCTCCCCTACTTGTAATTGTAAGTTGCAGACCCCTAGGCTCCTCAGCAGGAGAGGATTCAAACACCGGAGCCTCTGGTTCTTATAAATAGTCACACTTTATCTGCTCCAGGAGATAAACTGCTATCAATCCCCTTAGAAGCAAATAGTGTGCCTCTCTCGAGGTAGTATGGGAGACCTGAAGTTGGTTTCAACTTACCCAAGTTTAACTGAGGCTGGGATCAGGTAGCTTCACAATCCTCTGTCCCCTTCCTGAGCCTCCTTTCTTTCCTCCCATTGCCTGCCCTCTGAGCCAGAACTGTGGCACCGCTGAAGTTATCACAAATGGTGATCAATACACAGGTCCCGACCCCCTGAGCTCTTGGATGAGTCAGAGTTTAAGAATCGTTTGGTAGCTCCTAGCAAAGCAGCCGCTGTTTGTTTGTGGAGTACTTTTTTTTTTCCTTCACCAATTGTAAACAATCCCTTCCCTACTTAGCCTGAGACGTCTGCCAACTTCTGAAAAGCAGTTGGCCTTCTGAGACCTAAGTTTGTAGTCTCAAATATCCCCACTGTTTTTAGCCTTGGTGATGTTTCTCTGTGATGTAAGGTTTGGGCTGAACGCCTGCCTACACAGGTGAAGTTGAATGCCTCTCCTGTTAGAAAACAAAAGGCAGACCCTTTCGAAAGGGGGAGGAACGGGTAATAAAACAGAGAACTACAGAGGCAGGGTACACTTCTCTAGTTCCAAGTAACCATCCCGTGAGCTGCCTGAAGGAGAGTCAGGAACGAAGGGCGCCTTTGGTGTGTTTTGACCTGGGGATAATGTTTAGTGTCGAGCACACCGTGTCTGCACCACACAACTTCTCTGGACTCTGCTGGCCATTGTCTCTGTGTTCCAAGCCCCGTCCCTCTCCAACAGCAGAGCAGTACTAAGTCCATGACAGCTAGGAGCCCCTTCTCACCAACAACCCCCTTGCTTCCCCCATCCCCAGGATGAGTCAACTCAGCGGTGTGAGAGCCTCAGGCCACACTTCTCCAAGTCTCCAGTTCTGCACTGAAAACTCCCGTGTTGCTTTCCAGGATAGCTGAGGCTGAACCAGGAAGCAGGAAGTTTACCTGGGTACCCTGGATGAGTAGTGCAGGAGATAAAAATAATAGTTCAGATTTTTATGAGGGCTTACTGTGTGCCGGGAAGCCAGTGGTCTGTGAGCTTCATATATTAAGCTGTTTGTTTTACCAGAACAATCTGGCTGCTAGCCAAGGGAGTTTGACCGTTTGGGTATGTAGGGGAGCAAATTAGCATAGAAATCTCACAGGCCTTACTCTACAACTAAGCCCTTTGGGGCAGGCACAGCTTTCTTAGACGGCCCGTTAATGCAAACAAAATGAGAAATAGGCCTCTTTGTTCCCTTTCCTCCCTTTTTATCTCCTCTGCCCAAATAGTCTTAATTTTGAAATCTTTCCACCTTTTCTAAAGTTGTTTTTCGGTATCTTGGTTATGTGCCTGTTGACAGTATAGGGCTGGGAGAGGTCTTTTTTTCTTATTCTAGGCCTGTGTCTATAAAAATCAAGATTAGTAAAGACCGACCACAAAATAGCAACTTTAGTGGATATTATTGAATTTAATGAAAAAAGTAGACTCTTTAAATAGTTTTGCTTAAAAAAAAAAAATTAAATGTCATGGTTCCTAAATGGTGGTGGCTTTTCTTGTTAAAATTTTCAGTTGTAATTTTCCATTGGCTTTGCATTTCCTTGAGATGGATGAAATTGAACTCTCAAAATAGCCTCTAACTGAATAAATTATTGCTTGACAGAAAACCTATAAGCAGGCAACACAAATGAATCTCCTAGCCCTTCCTTCCAGGACCTACCTCTGGAGTCCAAAACCTAAAAACCAAGAGAAAAGTGCAGGCCTTGTCTTTGGTTGAAGTTATCTACATACAACAGTGGGAGAGCATCCTCAATGATGTCAAATTCTTCTTAAACTTAACTTTGAAAATGAGTCACTTGGGCTTAAAGCAGATTATTGTCATTTCAATAAGGAAGGCTGGTGCTCAAATTCCTTTGAGTAATGTTCTCAATTAGAAGAGAGTAAGAGAAACTATAAATATTTAAAATTTCTGGAGAATGGCCACAGTCTATGGTCCAGGCTCTGAAAAGTTTCTGCTAAATCTCAAATGTGTGATTAAGAGAATAAGGCTGATTTATTTTATGGTTCTCTACAGGTGGAATTTAGGCTCTCAGTTTTTGTTCAGAGTGCAGAAGTATGTTTTCTTTAAAAATAAGCCTTCATGTGGCCTTTTTACACACAAAAGGCTCTCCCTTTGCTTTCTAAAGCTGTTCTCAGCTTTGGTATATCCTGGACCAGTCAAGTGACCTTCCCTCTGTTTCCCTTCTCCTCAACTTTGATAGAAATTTCTTGTTGGCTTTAATGACTCACTGTGAAACCTAAAAATATCCTCTTTCGCCTGAATGAAAAGAAGAAGGCTGTAGCTCTTAGGAAACCCAGTAAATGGTATTAAACATGACCTTTATAGGGCAGATTAACAAATGATTATTTGGCTCAGGTCATGATCTCAGGGTCCTGGGATCGAGCCCCTCATCGGGCTCTCTACTCAGCAGGGAGTCTTCTCCCCCCGCCCCCCGCCCCAACCTCTGCCTGCCTCTCTGCCTACTTATGATGTCTGTCTGTCAAATAAACAAATAAAATCTTTTTTAAAAAAATGATTATCCATCAAGCTTCTCCCCATGGGCCCAGAATATTGTTGGTGATGTCACATGTAAGCATTTATGTAGCAAGATACTTACAGAAGTGCTACCTGAGAGATTGATTTCAGCAACAGGATACTGGAAATTATTTTAAACACTCTTTTCTCTTTTACTATTTACATAACGTCCGTGGAATGGAGAAGTGCAGGTGTGCCTCCTTTTACCCAATAGCCATATGTCAGAAGATTTAAAGCAAATCCCCTTTTAAATTCAGCAGAGGGACTCAGAAAATTAAAGGACTCTGATATATTGGTGATAGAAGAAAAAGGCCCTAATTTATGTTTACCAGTGGGCATTAGAAATCCTGCCTCTCGCATCCATACCCATGGGGTTTGGAAGAGCTACTCACTAGTCCTCAGTATTTCTCTGGCATCCCTTCTGCAGAAACTCTTCAGAGACGCACTGCAAAGTTACATGGTTGTACTAGCCTAGAACTCAGCCTACTGATGGAAATATGCACCTGACCCCAGGTGAACTTGTGTGTCCTTCAGTGACCTGTGATGGGGGCAGTTCTGTCTTTTCAGCCCTTATAAACTTACGAGCTGTGAATTCAGCTGGTTTCATTTAGGACCCAAGGTCTTCACCCCACAGCATGATGCCTAATGTTAGTCACAGAATTACCTGAAACCTAAACGATTAGCACTGTACACAAAACATCGCCTAGAAATGGAGGGTGTAAGTCCGATTTTGGCAAATGTGATCATGTTTCAGAGGCATGACAGAAGCATGCTCATTAAAAGCCGCTTGGGCACACTTTCAATGGGTGGATTGTATGGTATGCGAATTATATCTCCATAAAGCTGTTTTTTTAGAAAGCCGCTTAGGGTGGGTGCTTTTGCAAAATGAAGGCATTGTGGACTACAGTGATACCAGTAATCCTCCCTCTCCCTCCCCCCGCTGCAGTCATCATTTTTGCTTAAAGTAATATTGTAGTGCCCGGCATTGCCCTTGGTTAAAGGGTACAGGGCTGTGTGTCCAACACAATGGCAGGCACTGTTGGAAATTCAAAAGACGCAGAAGCCCCCATCCCTGCCTTCACAGAGACGCGAGAATATTTCACCCCCAAAGAGGGAGGTCTGTGCCTGCACAGAGTTCTTTTCATGGGGGTTTATTGTTTTGTTGGAGAAGATGTATGTTTGTGTTTTATAACCCAGCGAGTTATTTATAGAAACCGTGCTTACTAGAGGATCGCTCTCCCAGCTCATCCCCTCCTCTGTCCTTCCTAGTTACTGCAACAAGGAAGTCTACAACAAGGAGAATCTTTTCAACAGCCTGAACTATGATGTTGCAGCCAAGAAGAGAAAGAAGGACATGCTGAACAGCAAAACCAAAACTCAGTGTAAGCCATTTGCTTTGAACTTGGAAGAAGGCTGTTTGAAGATCGCTAGGGTGGGTTCTTTGTTGGGGAGAAAGAAAATCAGACCCCAAATGTGAGACATCTGCTTTAATGTTGACGGTGACATTGACAGAGGTCCCTGGGATCTCTGCAGTCAGAAAGCCGGCTGTGCATGTTACAAGCAAGATTGTGTTCCTCATAGACTTGTTTATAAGTCAGCAGGTAGTCGGGGTGTTTTTCTCCTGCTGGTCACTTACATCCGACGTAGTTAATTTAGTTACGATACAGGGATAGGGCCAGCTGAATCCGTTCCAGCATGTGCTTTTATTTGACACTGAGCTTTGAGGCTTTGGATATAGATCTGTTTCTCCCTCTTTCCTTGCATAAATCCCATTACGCTTCAAAATGCCGTACATAAGAGTATAAAGTTCTATTAATAAGCGGGAATTACAGCTCTTCGGTTTAAGCCACCTGGACAACATGATTTCCTCATGTTATCTGCTTTATTTCCACTTCTTAGGGCCTTGCCTAAGCTGTAGGCTTGGCATTTAAAACAAACTTGTCTTTGGATATTCGATTTTTTTTTCCCCCAATTTGGAGCTTTGGTCCTCTAAGTCCGATGATCCAAGATGTGCAGTGCTTCAGACCAAGTGGGCTATAACACCAGTACAAGTCTGCTGCAGAAATCAGGCATTTGCATCTCTTAGATTGTCCGTAGAGTCTGTCTTTTTTGTCAAAATGTTTGACACACTGGATATGTGAAAAAGAAACAGGTTTAAAATTTGGGGCATGCTGCAAATTTTAAAGCTGGGGGGGGTTATTTTTAATTTTTTTAAGTTTTTATTTATTTACTTATTTATTTACTGCCTCTATAGATTTCCACCAAGAAAAATGGATCTATGTTCACAAAGGAAGTACTAAAGAGGTGAGCATCCGTCCGTTTGTTAAAGAATATGCGTGGCTTTCGGCCTCTCCCAACAGGGTAGAGAGGGGAAGCCGGGCAAGAATATTACTTCAGGTCACGGCCGTTGTCCTGGGTGCCGGTGATGATGGCTGGCAGCCCGCCACCTAGCCGACCATCAGAGTTTAGCGCTACAGAGAGAGTGAGAAGCAAAAGTCGCTAAGTAGACTCCCTAATCACTCGGTGAGATTATGTAAAATGTTTTATAAAGATTAATATACCCATCTCAAATGTATTGTTATAAAGCCCTGGCCTTTCCCCCAGAAAAGTGCCTCTCTTTTGTTCTGAGATCTCTTCGGACTCCAACTTTGTTAAGGTTTAGCCCTGGAAGGGCTCATTGCCAAACACGGCAGAAGTTTTTAACAAGAGTGTGCAGGGGAGAAGATACAGTAAATAAGTACATTCGCATGACACTTTATAAAACCCTCTTATGTATATTTTCTCTCTGCACGGTCATCTGCTCCAATACCTAGGATACAACACAGTCTGGTAGAATGATAGAATCTCTCTGTGTCAGGGACCTTGGTGAAATGTACATCCCTGCCTGTTTGAGGCCCTGCTGGGGGTGGTGGGGGGAGCAGGGACCTACCCACGACCACCCAGATACTGGGAGCAGAGCTGGGACGGAGTCAGGGCTCTCTGCTCCCAGTTCCTTGTGCGTTCACCGGTAAAAGAGCAAAACTTCCTTTTGCTTCCTCATGAAGCCTTAAAAATGCTTGTGATGATCACAATGAGAAAAGCACTAAAGATCCGAGGCAGGGTAGCAGGCAGGCTGACCCTGGGAAGTGTAGTTCCCCTCCCAGGAGATGTTACAGTGACCCGCTAGCATCAGGTCACCCATCATACATCCAACTCCCAACCTTCCCTTGATAAGCAGCTACTGATGATCTCCCCATTCAAGTCTGTGCAAGGGCTCAAATGGTACAAATCTTGAAGAGAGGTGTGTAACGCATGAGTCACTGGCTAAAGCAGCTGTTGGCTATACCCCGCATCATTGTGGCTCGCAGGGGATTCCCAGAAAGAGCTGCTCATGGCACAGGAAAGCCACAGGTGGCCATAGGTTACCTAAGACCGGCATCCAGCCTATCAGTAGAGTCCGGGGAGGACTGTTCTGGAGAATGACCTCTGCACCCCCTGTTTTCACGTCCAGCGCCATGGATATTGCACTTTGGGGGAAGCTTTCAACAGGCTGGACTTCTCGACGGCCATTCTGGATTCCAGAAGGTTTAACTACGTCGTACGGGTAAGTCTCTGAAGGTTACGAGTGTCGAGTGTCGGCTGAATCGTCTTTTCAGGTCGTTATCTGCCCCACCCCCCGCTTCTGCCCCAGCAAAATAGCTTCTTAGGACCCTGGGAATTTTGAGGAAAGCAGAAAACAAACTTGTCCACTCCCTTCTCTCCAGATGTACTTCAAGTCCTTGTGTGGGTCCCATTAGGGCATTCCTGAGATTGGCTGCGACGGACAGCAGTGGCCATAATGCTCATGTGAGCCACTCCCAGCCCCCACGGATAAATGGGGACACACTGCGGGCAGCAACAGGAGCCAGAGCAAATCCATCAGAAAGCAACACCACGGCTTGTTTTAAAAACCTTCCTTCCTCGGGTCGTTCTCCCTGTCCTCCTCCTTGTCCTGCTTGAGCGGACTCTAGGTGACCCCAAGGCAGTCATGGTTTAGGCTACAAAACCAGATGAGTTCAAACACCCCAATGCTTCCTACCCATGACTCCCTTCCACCCCGTGGGATGACATATTCAGTCTCGTGCTCACCAAAGCTTGAAACTACCTGTTTGGGTCACTTGCTTTCCATTTGAAACCGTATATTTGTGGGGGGGGGTGGTTAATGAGTTTTAGCAAAATATTAGTGATGAATGGAGTAAAGCAAATGAGTCTACCCATGCCCCTCAAGTCCGTGATTCTTTTTAACTGGTTCATTGTTGTTGCTTCCCCCGTTCTTTGGTCTCTTGTGCGTTTCTGTCCGTGGTTCAACCAGGGAGGTCGCGGCTCAGATGTTTTAGGCTCAGAAGCAGGAGAGAATTTACTCACAAGGGGTGTTGATTTGTTGGGTTTTCACTCTTTCTCCTGGGTTGTTGTGCTGCTCCGTGCCGGGTCACTGAGTCAGATGATAGCCACGACTCAGCCAGAGTGATGACATCAAGCCCCCTTGAGGCCCGGGTCATTCACCTGTCATCTGGGCAGATACAGGCCTGGCTGTCCCAACCGACCTGATACCCAGGCCTCCTTGGAGGTCAGAAGCTCTGAGCTGAGCCTGTGACCACTTGAGCAGATCTGTCTGCTCTCAGCTGAGCCCTTATTGCCGTCCAAAAGGGATGAACATGAGAGACCTTCTGGATGAAATGTCCGTGTCATTCAGTGTGTCTCTGCCACTCCAGGAAGATCACTGTGGCCTGTAACCTGGCCCAGGCTGGCTGGAGAGAGGCCCAGCAAGAGCTGGAAACTCTGTTACTAAGAATATGAATAGTTTCCATGTTCTAGATGTCAGGGGAGGACACCCAGTTCTGATGTCTTAATTACAAACGGATCAGCAAAAACGGTCCGGTTTTAGATGGTTCTCCTTCCTACCTGTTCTTCCTTTCCCAAGAAATAAGGCAAAGGGACAAGACTACAATAGCCAAAATCTATTTCCGTGTAATTCCGTACATTCACCTTTATCCTTCCATGAACCCTACGAAGTGGGGGGACTTTGCTGACCCGTTTAAACAAATGGAAGTACTGCAAGGTAAAATGACCTGCCCAAGGTCACAGAGCTGTGTAAGCAACAAAATTGGAATTGGAAACCTAGTCCGTCTTAGAGTCCACACTCTCCGCTGTACAGTGGGTCATCTGCAAGCAGAGGATGGAAAAGTACAATGGTCTGAGGTCAAGCTATTTCAGGCCCTACTTTCTGCCTATTTCAGCCTCCCTAAGCCTCCTCTGCCCCTTCGGTAAGGATTTACTACCGCGTCGCAGGGTGGCTGGCCACTCGGTAATGTATTTTCTATGGAGATACCCTGCAAACCAGAACCTGTTATTCAGGGTCAGCTACAATATTTATTACTACCTACTAACCAAAATTATTAATTCTCCCTAATACACCTTTTCAGGCCAGCTGATAAATGTTTTTCTCCTAAAAAAAAAAAAAAAAAAAGGAAAGGAAATCTTGCACTTGATAAAGACCCAGGATAGAGAACTTGTATCTCATAGTATCTAGTTGTAAACTATGAGCACTTTTCTGTAAATAATCCTTAAGTCAGAGAAACTGCTACATGCTTTCGGAGTTGTCAGGTTCAGCAGTAGTGGAAAAATGTTTCTATTTTGGAAAGAGCCATCTTTTTTTCCCCTTCACTGTTCCAGTCCTCTATAATTTGAGAAATAATGTTATTTTTATAAAGAGCTTAAAACATTTTAATGATAGGTACTGCATTTTGAGGGTTTTCTACTAAGGAACTCTATGCACATCTCATATATTCTTCTTATCCTTAAACCAACTTTGCAGAGTAGCTTGCCATTATGTCCCCGCCCCCTCCCCACTTGCCCCGCATCTGACTACTTCTACCTAACGGCGTCCTAATACAGTATTACAGTGACTCCTTAGTTCCAGTGAGTGACTGAACCAGCTTCAAAAGCCTTAAAAAAAAAAAAAAAATTAAAAAAAAAATTTTTTTTAATTTCTTTAAAGCCAAGTACATTTTTAAAAAATGGGTTATGTTCATGCTGGCCGTCATCTTCAGAAACAGACCATGCAGAGGAAATAAAAGAGATGGCTAACACCCCTATTGCAAGATTTCATAATTTTTATCAGTAAATATGAAAATTTTATGGAATTTTTTAAATCAAAAATTTTAACATAAACTGGAAAGGTTTTCATAGAGCATCTGTACCTTATTTCAATAGGGCTTCAGGTTCTACTCACTGTCTTCACCCTCTTCCCTACACACGCCCGATGGCTTAAATACAATTTTAACTGTGGGTTTTAAAAAGGATTTAAACCCTTTAGAGGCAACAACTTACCCATTTATGAAAGGTCGTTTTAAAAAATTGGTTTACACTGTGCCTCAAGGCCAGCACAGCTTGGCGCTGGCGAGGATTCCAGGGTCTGGGCTGGTGGCGGGCTTGGCACTTGGTCACCACGAGGAGGGGAGAGCTGATTAATGCTGTCAGGGCACAGCGCAGCTAGTGGGCAAAATAGGTCTCCAGTAAACCGGGAGAGGGTTTTGGAGACCACACACCGACTCCTGGCTCTCTGAAGTGAGCCTGCGATGGCCCACTGGTTCTCATTTGAACTGGCTGTCCATTAGAATCGCCTGCAAAGCCTGTTGGTCTACAAACGCCCACTTCTAAAGCATCGATTTAATGAGCTGAAGGTGGTGCCCACACATTGCTTCTTAAATTTATCCTTCAAGTGATCCCTGTGTTTTCAGGTTTGAGAACCAGCTCAAAAAACTCCCGGGAGCCCAAATGCCATAGTTTGCACACAGTGTTTTCAAACAAGAGACAGGGAGGCACAAAAGAGGAGAGGATTTTAATGCTTTAATGCCAGGATGACCTCTAAACTGGTCTCCCAGCTCGCTTGCGCTCTCTCTCTCTCTCTCTTTTGGCCCTGGATGCCCCCTCCAGACCAGCAAGGTCCTGGAGAACCCTGAGGGCCACTTCCTGACTGGAATGAACTGACCCACAGGTGTTAGCAGACCAGAAAAGGATAAGCAAACGCTTGTAACCCCACTCTCTAGCCCTCTGCAGGAAAAACGAACATCCCAAGTGAAACCCAGGCACATTCTTACTTCTTTTCTGCATTACCACCCTAAGATCATTTGAATGTTTCCAGCAAGTTACTGCATTCCTACCACCCCTAAAAGTCTCTTCCAAAAACATGTTTTAGTTTAAGTTGACTGGCGGTTTGGCCAACAAAAGGCTGAAATATGGCACTGTGACTCAAATTCAAACCCAATGCCTTAAATTAAGGGCGTGCTGTTGCCAACCCCCTGGTGGGTCATGATGTGCCTGACAAGCCCAGCCCCTTCACCGGGTTCCTCTGCCGCAGTGACCTTGGTTTAATTTGGCACTGCCCTAGACCCGGCGCCTTCCTTGGGTGGAGGGTGGCCCCTGCCACCTGGGTCTTAAAACCAAGGGTTCTTTTTCCCCTGGGACAGAGAAGCTGGGATAGAGGGAAAGAGGCCTGTCACCCAGACACAGTAAAGTCAAAAGAACAGAGCCATTGTGAGCCTACTTGAAAGTGACTTGCAGAAAGGATTGGGAATTAACATTTGAGGGCCCAAGGTGGGGATTAGGCTGCCAGTGCTACCAGAGAAAGTCTGTGTCTTGGAACTCCTGGGTTTCCCATTATAAGTTAATTAAAAAAAAAAAAAAAAAAAAGAATTCCTGGCTTTCTGTCATAATAAGCATTCAGGCTTTGCATAGCAGATCCTGCTATGTCTGGGTACCCGCAAAAGTGGGGAACACTCACAGGCTCGGGGATATGCCCAGACAAGTAGGGAGCACCTGTGAAAATGAGAGGGATGGCCAGGAGCCCAGCATAGTGGTATTTTGGACCATGGACCCCAAACAATGTCAGCATGGACTCCCCATATATGTGTGTTCCTAAATTCATCTGTGAATCACCTACCTATTAAAGGTGCTAATAATGGTATCTGCCCCGTCATGTTGCCCAGAGAATTAAAACTTGATTTAAATCCTTTCCAGCAGTGCCTGGTACATGGTAAGAACTCGAGGAGACTCTCTTGTTGCCATTAATATCCTCATCTGTCGGGTCCTGATTACAGGCATTAGAAAACACACACGTAGAAAGACGATAGAAAGAAGAGAGATTAAAGATGAAATGGAGAGCTTGATGTTTTATGGTTTTTCTGCCTGCTTTCCTCTCCCATCTCCCTTTGGAGACCGCAGGATCAAATTTTTTTCTTAAGGACTCTGAATCTAAACCTTATCCCACTAGGGGCCCAGAAATAGATTTTATACAAAAATTCAGTCTAGTTTCTAGGATAAGTCAGGGACTTACTATGTGGGGGGTGGGAGGATATCATAAATTGGACAGGTGAGCTGACTTTTGAATACCAATCAGCAGACTTTTCTCCCATTCAAGGAGGTAAGTTCCCGAGAGCATTCGGTGCTGTACTCTAAGTGCTCCAGTTCAGGATAAAACAGGTATTTTTTTCCAGTGTCTGTAAGCTAGGACCGCAAGTCCCCTCAGGTCCACTGACAGAGGCTCTCCAAATAGCAAGGAGTTGA